CTGTGGGACCTGACAACCGCCTGCCCCATTTCTACCTCCTCCAGCACACTAGTCTGTGGGGACCACAGCTCAGGCCTGGAGTGGGAGTGGGGGCCCGGGGCTCTGGGCCTGGGGAAAGGTTGGGCTAAATGGACCCAGCCTGAGAAAACAGCTTTTGGTGCCTGACCTCAGGCTGGCAGCTCCAAAGAGGCCACATCCCTTCTCCCCTGGACCTCTGGAGTGCCCCTCTGGCCTTGGACTCAGGCTGGCCCGCCCAGGCCCCTCGGGCTGTGCACAGCCCCTGCTGGCTTTTGGTCTCCTCTCCAGGGTACACCTGGGTGCTGCAAGGAAGCTCCAGGGGACACGTGGCCCCCTCCCTACCAAGTACAGTGGGGGGCCCAGCGGCCCTGGAGGGGGCTCCCTCACTCAGGACATAACACCAGGCTTTTCAGCAATGACCCCTCAGGGGCAGTGAGGACACTGTGAGAGGCAGTGCTGGGCAGCTGTCAGGGCAGCGACGCCGGAGCCCAGTGGCCCGTGTTGCTTGGAAGCTCGTGGCTTGGGTGGCTCGGCGGACTTCTCTGTGCCCCACTGTCCTCCAGTGCAGTCGGGAAGATGACAGCAACCTCCTCACAGGGCTGTGAGGACTGAAATAGTTCACTATACAAAGGCCTCAGAAAGGTGCCTGCCCCATTGTAAAGTTAACTAATAGTAGTGTTGCGTCTACCGTGAACGCCGCTATTCTTAGGAAGCGCTGAAGAGATTTTTCAGAGAGAGCAGCTACCTGGATTAGCCCAGGAGGAACACTGTCATCCTATTGGTGGTCTGGAAACAAGCTCGGTCCAAAGGCGTTGCCCTGGGAAGACCCCGTGGCTGTGGGGCAGTGTCTTTACTGTGCTGACTGGCTGCGTTTCAAATACATCACCCCACAGGTCTCATGGACCCCCAGGCACCCGACACCCCCCTATGAGTTCCCTTTCCAAGCCACGTTTCCCGCCTTCTCCGTCCTTACACCTCCTACCCCTGGGCTCCTGATCTCGATTCTTACATCACTTTAAGAGGGAGGAGTTAGGGCTTTCACCAGCCCCTCCCCTCCCCCACAGGTCCCCCTCATCCACCGCTTCCTTGGCATGATGGTGTCAC